CTAAAGTTGCTTCATGTTCTGACCTCAAATTAAGAATAAACACCTGAGAAATTGACCTTGTGTATTCATCTCCAAAAGCAAGCATATTTTCATCTCCAGGGGCAACCAGTTGCTTTTTGTTTGCCCTAAAGTCTAAAATTAGTTGTCTTTGTGACTGAGAATACTATCACTTTCCTATGTAAATCTGACAAATGAAAAATAGTCTAGTATTATTACTATTCATCAAAATTACACAAGATAATCAGAAATCATCTTCCTGACTATCCACAGCTATATGTGTGCCCAGTAGACAGAATATATAAATGGGATACACACAAGTAGTGGGAATAATACCGATAGCATTTTTAGTGGCACATGAGAAAAAGTATAGACAGATACAGTCATTTACAGTCATAACCCCACAGTCTTTTCCAAGTGGGGCTATTTAATGAGTGGAGATATTGAGATATCATCATTTACAATAAAGAACAACAAATCACAATAAAGAACAATTGCTGATTGGGTTAGTAACTGATTTTATACCATCTGTGATCATGCTAATTTCAGAAATCTGCTATGTTCACCAAAATACTATGGTACAAATAAGTTAAAGAAAATAAGCTTTTATTATTTTCATTAATGCCAGAACTTAATGTTATAAAGAATTGAGCTACTTTAGGATGTAATAGCTCGATCTCTGAGAAAGCACAAACACAGGCTGAATGGCTTGGTCTATAATCTTGGTTAAAAGATTGACTATATACCACTCTAGTTAGCTTTCACTAAAATTTGAATTAGTATTTTAAGGACCAGAGATTAAACCCCTATTTGACTATAGATATTTGAAATTTGTAGGTGTGAAATTGAGACATGCAGGCTTTGCAGCCATATGTGTCTGGGTTAATGTCATAAGTCTCTACTAACTACAAAGGTAGTTTTGTGCATAATATTTACACATTATGATTTGGGCATGGGTACAGGAGTAAAAAATAATATGATTTTAACATCTTCCAGAAAATTAAATCATTGCTCATATTCTTGTAGCTTAAAAAAAGAAAAAATTAAAAACCTGACATATTTTCACAATAAAAATTTCAACATATTTTATCACAGAATTATTCTTCAGTTATTGAGTGGCATTAGGAAATATTTCAGGTGTATTCCTTTCCCAATTGCTATTTTACATTTAACATCTTTCTAAAAAAGAAGACCCTGATTGTGCTGGTATTTTATGACTTTAAATAAGAACATATTGCTAAAATTGTAATTAGATCACCAGTCCCTGAGGTGTCACTGTCCAGACTGTCTACTCCAGAGGATAGTTGGCACATGGTTGGAAATTGGAGGCATTGGTTGGCTGCCAAGTCTGGCAGACCTTTAGGATGCATCAGGTGACCTTTTGCTCAGCCCCTTGGGTCCTTTATTTGGGATTTTATGTTATCCAAATAAATGTTAGATCTGGTGAGGTGGAGTTACAGAGGATGTCCATCAGGTACCCTCTCTCCATCACCAGCTCAAAGTGATGCTGCCACTCACCTGTAGCGTTTCTCTCTAACCCCACTACTCTGACTTCTGCAGTGGGTATCCGTAAAAGATCTTGTTGCAGCAAGTTTCCAGTGTGAAAGAGGGAACAGTTGGACAGCACCCCCTCATTCACTGGTCACTTAGTAGCACTGTAATTGTTCCTCATTATTCTAGTCCAGGATGCCACTGAGCCCTTCACAGTACCTCTAAGGATGAGAAGCTGAGGTCAGAAGCACATGTGGCCAGACTAACTACTGGGCTTCTAAGATACTACTGTTGGTGTGTTTTACCCTTTCTTTTAAAATGGCAAACTTCTATTTTCAGTAAAGTAGGTAGTTATCACACTGCCTCAAAGTAAGAACTGTGAGTTTGTGAACAACAAAACAAGAAGTGTGTTTTGAAGAATTGTTTGTGCTAAGCAGAGACATATGTCATTTCTCAGCTGGAGAGTCTACCTCGTGTTAGTTTTTAAAGTGTTATCTTTGTATCTTTTTAAGACAGTTTTTAGTTGAAACAGACCTAACAGGTTATTTTTGGTTTCATATCTACTATGGTTGTTTTAAAAGACAGGCAGACACATTGCAAAATTTCTTGGGCATTTCTGTCCTGAGTCTGCCAAGAGAAGGATTTTATAGGTATGTAAAGCAAGGATGACACAGTTTCTTTGCCTTCATCTAGGGGTGTTATGTCTGCTCCACAGCCTTCAAAGTCTTCACTTTTTGCTTTGGTGTTTTGTTCCTTTATCTTCTGATCCCCACACAATCCAAGACATCCATGTTTTCTCTGTGACTCTACTGCCTACAGTATGTGAAGCTGTACATTCCAGTAGATAGTTTAAATTAGAGTCTACCATTAAACAGCCAGGTAGTCATTGAAAATCTCTGAACCTTGAAAGTGAGAAGAAAATTTGCCTTTTATGGAATTTATTTGAGGAAAAAATAAACTAAGATATGGGAAGACGTATAGGGTAAGCATCATGAAAGCAAACCATCAATAATATAATTATTTTACTAGTTGTCACAGGCCATAGTTATGACTCTCTCCTCTGAACACCAAATAATATTAATTATTTGTAATGCTCACTAGACATGTATTTGTCAGGTAGATATATTTGTAAGTTACATGCTAATTTCTCTGGGCATTTCAGAGACCTATATCTGCACTAACATAAAAGCACATATCCTTTGTCTACCACCCAGTGAATTTTAACAAACATCATATAGCCATGCAGCAAATGTCCTGTTCAAGAATGGGATGATACCAGTATCCCCAAAATTCCCAAACACTCCATCCTGTATTGCTTATTAATCCCCTCAGGTAACTGTTATTCTGACTTACAGAATCAAGTCTAGATCAGTTCTAAACTCTAAAACTCTAAACTTTATAGCTTATTATTTTAATGAACATTTAAGGACCTTGAATAAAGAAACCAATATCTGTTTTTTCTCACTACAAGAACAATTTGTCAAATATGGAGTTTACCAGTACAGCAAAGGCAATGTCCTTGATGAACCCCACTGCTTTCTCTACATCTCCATGAGGGATACTGAGGACTGCCAGAAGAGACCATCCACACTCATAAAATGATGTTACAAAAGTACATGTTCTCCATCTCACCTGGCTGGTTACATGTCCTCATTCCCAAACCAGCTACCAGGTCTCATTTCCGCTCTTCATACCATATAATTCAAATGCTTTCTCCTTAATTTAGACTTCCTATTACATACTTTAAAGTGAGATCTAATAAACTGCCTTGTTATCAGAGCTGTTATCAGTTATCATCCCATTGTCACGAAACATACAAATTTGAATGCACATGTTCCTGGTTGCATCTTTCCTGGTTTCTTTCCTGCACTGGGTCTTTATGACATACATCTTATTTTATCAGATTCACTGCATTTCTTCAGTGACATCTCCTTCACATTAGTGTTGCATGTGTGAATTTTGCCATCTTTAAATGCAACAGTAGGAAAGAGTTGTCTGAAAACTCAGATTATGTGCCTTTTGCCAACCTCAAGTATATAGGCTTCTTCACACTATTCTTTGCACATTCAGTCTGTGATTCCTCATTTCTGTCTTCCCATTACTCACTTCATTCTAGTGTCCACTTCAACTAGCTTATTGAACCACACACACACAAGCACACCTTGGTGAGATTCCTGACAGTGTCCATATGGCTAAACTAAAGCCACTTTGCAGAACACGCAGGCATTTGAACATGTCTGAACCTCTTTCTGGAAACACCCTCTCTCTTTTGCTGCTGCATCTATGCTCCTTGGTCCTCACTGACTCCCCAGGAATTTATTTCTACTCACCTTTTAGGAATCTTCTCCATTCTTTTACATAGATGCCAATCTGAGTTATTACTAAACTTTCTTGTTCATTTCATGCACCATTACAAAAAAAAAAAAAGATAAATGTAAACTATGCCCATATATTCAAAGGACTGACCATAGCTTAACTAGAATCAGATCAATAAATACTGGAGTATCTGTTTCATGTTCATATGTAAGTCATATTTTAAAGCAAATCTTCTTCATCATTAATAACAACTGTGGTTTATAGAATGCTTTTCTGACCCTAGACATAACTAGTATGAAATTAATTATTTCTGATGATGATAAGCAATATTTTCTCATGGAGAAAACAGAAAATAACATATATGAGAGAATGTCACTTCATAGAGATAAATAACAACCCAGGTTTCTTACCCAGAGATAGTGGGTAACTCTGGCAGACTTTTTAGACTTACTATGCTTTCATATTGTGTGCATACATTTTTCATAGTTGAAATGGTTATTTTCGTTTATTTTTATAATCGGACATTTGTGTCACTTTTCTTCTACCATCTGGGCCCTGGTTATCAGAGCTAAACCATATTGCCAGCTCTCAATTTATTTGTAAAGAAAATTTCTACATAAAAAGTGATTCCTTGTTATTTTATTCATAAATTCTTCCTTATTAAACAAGGCTTATTTTTGTTTATTAGTTATATTTAAGTCATTCCTATAATTTTTATTATTTTATTCTGATTAACACTAAAAAGAACAGAAGGACCATTGAGAGTAAAACAAGTCTCTGGGTAAAACACCTGAGGAGAAAGACACAGCAGGCAGGCCTGGGCTTGGCAATGCATTCTGACTTTCTTCCTTTTCTAGGTGCAAAGGCTAGAAGTATCATTTGATTTATAAGTTATGAATGTGATAATTGTTAGTGTTCAGTTTTGACTCTGTTTATGTCTTATAGTAAGTGTTCTGGAGTACATAGACAGATTATTCAGAAGTTGTATAGAGAAAGATAGTCTGAGAAGACAGATAGTAAGTAGCATGGGTTCTCTCTGGTGCATGGTGCTTAGACAGACAGCCATGTTTACCACTACATCCCACAGGGCTGTGACTGCTGTTCACGCTTCCAGACTAACACCTTCTGCTTCTCATGCCAACGTTGTGCATGATGAGTGTTCCTTATGACTGACAAGGTGCAAACTCTCTTCACAGAAAGCAGAATGAGAAGTTGAAGACAGAAGAACCTCAAACCACACTCCAGAAACCCAGGGTTGATTATGCAAGGCAGGTGAGCAGAGAGCTTACAGGACCCACCATCCCTTCTGATCAGCAAATCACTGCTAACCCAGCTGATGAGGAAGAAAGCAAGCACTCAAGCAGCAGCCAGAAACCACAGAATAATCAAAAGTTCCTAACAGGAGTACCCAAAAACAGAATCCTGGATGGCAGGGTGAGTAACAAGAAATAGCCAAGCTTTTCTCGGTAATTCATTTTGGAAAATATGCAGAAAAACAAATCCACACAAACATATACACTTAGAAATTAGTACATTTTTATATAATAGAAATTACAAATGATCTTTTTCAACTTAAAATAAATGTCAAGGGATATTATTGTCTACAATGAACTGACTTGGTCAACATAACTTGCTAATGGTAAACTCACTGATACTTGCTAATCAATTCAGTAAATAAGTGTCACTAGCCATGTGTCTCAATGTAGTTTCTATTACTGTGATAAATACCATGATCAAGAGCAGCTTAGGGAGGGGAAGAAGGTTTACTTTATCTTACAGTTTATAATCCATGTAAATGGAGGTTTGTCTCCTTCCAGCCAGTTCCCGAATAAAACACTCAGGGGCTTAATATTAATTATAATTGTTTGGTCAGTGGCTGGGGTGTATTACTGCTAACTCTCACAATTAAATTAACCCATTTTTACTAACTATGTATCACTACCTGGCCATGGCTCACTGGTAGTTCTTGCATCTTACCCCTTGAAAGACTACATGGTGTCTCCCTGATTCTGCTTTCTTTCTCTCTATATCTGCCTGGCTCTATACTGCCTGGCCATTGGCAAAATCAGCTTTATTTGTCCACCAGTAAAAGAAACACATATTCACAACTTAAAGAAGGACATCTCACATCAAATCCATCATGAAGAAAATCAGGGCTAGAACTAAAGGCAAGAATCTTGTGTCTGAAACTGAAGCAATGACTGATGATGAGTATGGCTTACTGGCCATCTCTGTCGCTTGCTTGCTCAGTCTACTTTATTATATAACCCAGGATCACCTGAACAAGCTAGTACTGCCTAAAAATAGGCAGGGGCATTCCTACATCAATCATCAACCGACCAAATGCATCACAGACTTGCCTACAGGCTGATCAGAAGAGAGAATCTTCTCAACTCAAGTTCCCTCTTCCCAAATGAATCTAACATTTGTAACATTGACAAGAATCTAACCAGCACACCATGTAAGGTTCCAGTCTGTTGGAAAAGGAAAGTCTGTCTGCTTTCACATTACCAGAAGGGATTATTAATTTTCAAAATCCCATGCAACCATGTCTAATTATAAAGAAAACTCCCAAACTGTTTTGATGGAAACACGTATCAGTGGACTCTGCTAGTAACTATCCAAACAATCCATAAAAGCTGTCTTGAGAAGGATAAACCTAAATGATTAGTAATTTGAAACTAGAAGCCAAGTATAGCACCAATTGAAAGCTGGATCCAAATCAAGACAAAACTAATGATTCATTGATAACAAAGTGCCATTTCCAAAAATTACTGAAATTTCAATTAAATGAATACATAGAGTGGGCGTTTTGCAATGCTGCCAAACATTAAGTGACAGCCAGATATTTTAGTAGAATACTGATTAAAGTCTACATAAAACTCAAACAGAAATATTTTTAGCTTATAATTTTAATAGGCCTTTAAAAACCACTGGGATGCAAACTAGACTTTATCCATATGAGGAAATGAATGCCTATGGCTTCTGGTCTTCTGTGCATAAAAACCAGACAAAAGACTGTATTTTGGAGTGCTTGACAGCCACCAGTGGCCTTCAGAATGCTATCTGAAGGTCCCAGCTGAGCACTGAAGTCTTTTTATGAAAGTAACTTGGCCTATAAGTTAGTGGTACAGCTGAGTCTGAAACCCAGACCTTCTGGCCTACATTTAACACATTCCGTTTCCTTTCTAATAATGAGTCCTTGAAGTTATATTCTACTTGGAGCAAAAAAAAAAAAAACTGAATTAAAAAAACTAAAACAATATTGTATAAACATCTAAAAGTCTATGAGTTTCTCTCTGATTTTGATTTTGGCATTGATTTGTTTCTTCTATTTTGTCACTCCCAAGAACGACTTTCGTTATGAACAACTTGGTTATGAATGATTTTATTATGAACAGGTGTTTTCAGATATATCTTATTATGTTGCGTTTTTGGTGTTGCATTACCTGATGCAGGTGCCATGTTGTTTCTGAGACTATGATAGAAGGCAATCTGAGACTCCAAAGTTGAAATGACTCACAAGTATGCAGGCAAGATGTATAACCCATTCCTGCCACTTCTGTTTTCTGATCCCCCTGCTCCTTTTCTTCCTCTTTCCTCCCCCTCCTTCTGCTCCTCCTCTATCCTTCTCCTCCTCCACCTCTTCTAGACAAGATCCAGGATGTCCCAAACTTTCTATGTAGCTGAGGACTACTGTCAACCTCTTGTCCTCCTGTCTTTCTCTTTTGAGTGTTCAGATTACAGGCACATACCTCCATGCCTGGTGTATGTAGTGCTGAGGATGGAACTCCGGCCATGTACATGCTAGATAAACACTACAGTAATTGAGCTTCTGCTTTACTTAAATTTTAATTTATTTCCCTAATCATAAAGTATTACACGGTTGCAAAACAACAAAATATAAACAATTAGAAAATAAACCTAAAATAGAAAACTAGGGACTTTCATTTTCTTCTACCCTGTATATGTTGATATAGAGTGAGAAACAATACGTGTGTATCCTTTGCTCTTCTGCTCAATTAGTTCTTCCATTAGCATGAAAAAAAAGTTTGTCCTATTCCATAACTTAAAGAGCTCTTTACTCACATTTAAAGCTAGCAGCCATGATTTGCCTTGTGTCAAGCACTAGTTTAAGCTCTTTGCATATATTAACTAATTTCTACCCAAAATCACCCAGTAATGCAAGAAACACTTAATCTTTAGTTCATGAAGAAAACTGACAGATGAGGTCAATTGCTTTGCCAGTATGAGGCTGAGAAGTGTCAATCTGATGATTCAAGCTCAGATTCTAGGCCCTGTTGTTACCAAATTGAGTCCACTCCTTTGCATGAATATAAACAAAGCCCTTGGAGTACATAAACTAATTTTAATCTCTATGTTCACTGCCTATGTTCAGCTCCTCATTGCTGATATAGAATAGGCATTTACCATAACTACCTGGAAGAAGTTTGCTATATCTGCAGTTCAGCTTATGGACTCTACTGATTTGGAGTCTTTGCTGATTCTGTAATACTGAACGGAAATGACAAATCATGGGTTTGTAAGAGGCTTAGTGTGGGACACCAGTTACCAAATACAGGAAGGCCTCCTGGGAGGTGTGGGGACTGACTAATTGGTTCTGTCTGCCAGGCAGGCATGTAATGCTGGCTTGCCAGATGGCAGCCACAGTTGCCTGGTACAGAAACCCTCATTACCACCTTGACTAAGTGGTAAATGGAATCCTGCTGTAGTTATAGAAGCTCACCAATCAAAACAACTTCTAGATCTTTATCACTCACACACAGATAAAAATAGGCCTGGGATGCAGCCCACAATCTGGATAGATTAATTTGCTTCAAAGGAGAAGGTACTGTAAAAAAGACTGATACCATGTGAAGGGAGGGCAAGCAAACATCAAATAACAGATGATGGTCAAACGATGTCCTTATATGAGAACATAACACATTATACACTTAAGAATAGCAAGATATCTAGAAATCAGCAGGGCAAGGCTTAGCCTCACACAGCAATGAGGCTCAGAGATATTGAAGGACTTGTCTAAGGTCTCCTAAGATAAGAATTGTGCTATTATATAACTAATCATTTTATTCTTCTAGATAAACCTGTAAAAATGTTACAAACACACAAGGCGTAGTTTCTCAGAAACATTAGTTCTCATTTCGCTGCTAAATTTTTTTCTTAAAGAATGTGTGACTAACATAAGACAGTAACATGATTTTAAAATATGAATTAGAGTGCTTATAGCATCTGGCAGCATGAAAATAAATGTGTGAGTGCTTTCATTTTAATAGCTATCACAGCCAATTTGTAACCTACTCCTCAAAGCCCTGTTGCATAGTTGGCATTCGACTATATGGTAGAACCCTATGATTTGGCCTTCATTGTAGAGATGAATAGACAGACATAGGGGGACTTCTAACATGTGTATTTGCAGGTCAATGCTCATTCCTCATGTTCAAAGTTCATATCCCTCTGACCTTATTCCAAATAGTCTCTGTTGCACCCCTCCAGTTGTACCAGGAAGAAACCTAGACAGGCTTTCCTCTGCTCATTCTATAACTCTGATGTCCAACCAGTCACCAAGTCCAGGGTATTTTTCCCATCCATGCTGTCTTTCTTTCGATTCTTCTGTTATTAATCTAGCTGTATTACTATAGAGATTTTAATGACCTTCATAACACTGGATTTTTTGTTTGTAAACTCCCCTCTTTGTCCTGGCCAACTATTACAAGAAATGTTGCCATGTAAGACCAAATATCTGAGTGGCTTATGACAATTACCATGTGCACTCACATCTACAGGTGTGAACTAAGTTCAGCCTTAATTAATCCCAGCTGGAATTGAATGGGCTGTCTCCAAATTGTAATTTGTTTCAGATATTATTTCTCTTATAGTTTGTCTTTATTGTGTTTTCATTATTGTGATATGCTTTTGTTATTATAGTATATAATGTGTATTATATAATATATATGTATTCTTTTATATTTATGTGTATATATATACATGCAAATAACATCAATTAATTTTTTAATGAATTCCCTGAAATTGAAAGAGTCAAGGAGAGATACATGTGAGAATTTGGAGGGAAGAAAGGGAAAGGGCAAATGATATATTATAACCTCAAAACAAAACATAAAAAAATAGTAAAAAGCTTTAAAGGATATATGTATGTATATATATATATATACATATATATATATATATATATGAGAGGAATGCTAATAAAATTGTGTGTGTGTGTGTGTGTGTGTGTGTGTGTGTGTGTGTGTGTGTGTGATAGCTTTTAGGAAGAACTTATAAAAACTATCAGCTTTAGCCTCTACTTCCAACATTTAAATTTTATTTGTAATCCTTATTGCCCTGTTATAAAATTCACCCATTTCTCTCTACTTTTGTTCCTTTCACTAAAATAAAATTCCACCCCATAAATA